GTAGAATTATTTTTGTTCTGCAATGTAGAGAAGTCAATGCATTGATGATATTTCTGGAAAAAGAAATAACCTTGTCTTGTTTGATTTGTAAAATTTATAGGACTATGGTATGGTCAATTTGGAGCAGGTCTCTCAAAGGCCAGATTTCTTAAACCGGTAAGTCTTTGTTCATGTTCACCCTTCGCTTTTCTTCAGGTGTATACCAACTCTCCTCAAGAAAGTATATAGTGGTCATCCATTTTTGTGGGTATTACAAAATTACTTTGATCTTAGGACACTAGCCAAGTGGAAATATAAAGCAGTGTTGATACAGTCATAAGCTTATAGAAGCCCTAAAAAATAAAAATACATTTAGATAATAGACACCAAGGATGAGCAAGCCTATCCCTAGATACCAAGCATGCAATCTCATCATCAAATTCCAGGCAATCTGGTTAGCGAGTTCACTGCCTTTGACATTCTCAGAACTCCTGATTGTCTAGATTTTCTGATATAAGTTTTGCTTAACTAGAGGTGTGACAAAACCAATTTGTCTATCAAAATTGCCTGTGATTATTTTGAATTCCACACTTAATTTAGTTTTTTGGGTGCAGGTTTCCAGCCCCTTTGTCATTGAATGTGGTTCGATCTAGGCTGACAAACAATTATTATCGAAGCGAAAAAGCAGTAAAACATGATATCAATGTGATGATGTCCAATGCTATGTCATATTTTGCGAAGAATGCAGGAATTTTCAAGAAGATGAAACGCATGGATGACTTTTTTGAAAGAACATTGTCAAACTTGTGAAACACATTTTTTGAGATTTAGGTTACATCACCAGACCACATTTTTTCAGTTCTCCCCAGATTTTGTTAAGGCAAGGTGTACCAGAGACCTTGTTCTTGTATGCATACATTGCAGTTTCACCCTTTAAGCTAACAGGGACCGTGTTTCTTTAACTATAGAGCTCTGAGTTGCTCCCAGAAGCTTCGGAATGTGTACGATGCATCTGGTGTAAATTTTACTTCACTTGGTAACTAGATCCTGCTGCAGTTGGTGCTATTTCTCTGAGCTGTCATAGACAAATGAATACCTCTCTATTAATACAAATTGCTATAATTTCTTGGCTAGTAATCCTTAGCATGGGCAAGCCTACATGTTTGATCTCAATGTTTATTTTTTTTTATTTTGTTTCTTACATTTGATGAGGCATACTTTACGGTAAACCCTTGCTTAAAACTAGGAAATCTTCCTATGTTCTTTCCTTGTTTTATTTCTTAGTCTGAAAAAAATAGAAATAAACCAGGCATATTTTTCCTGCAAGTTACATGGGGGGTGAGTAAGTTACTTTGGGGTAACCGGGTACGGATCCTTTGTTCTTTTGCTTGGCTTTCAAGTGTTTAGCCCGCGAGATATTTGGCCAAAAAAATTATACTGTAAAAGTTGTGGTTTGGTTAAACCAAGTTATTACTTCAAATTTGACGTGTATAAAGTTAGATCAACTAATGTATTAAACAATAACAATGTGATATCTTAAGCATACTCATAAAAGTAAAGAAGACTTTAAATGGTTTTGGGTCATACCTTTTGCTAAACCCACGTGTCTTGGGATTGACTAGGCTGACTAACGAGTAGACTGTAGACCCACTAGTTGCAGGTATCATGTAAATTTATTAAAACAATGGCTCAGGGAAGACTTAAGTCCATATGTCATCATGTTGTGTCATGTATGCTTACATTTCTATGCCTTATTTTAGCAATTTTTCGTTCCATAATAGATGTAGTTTAGAGTAAACTGAAAACACCAAAAAAAAAAAAAAAAAAAAAGAGTTAACCGATAGTCGGACACGAGAAGGTGTTGTCAAGCTTGCCCTTTCCCCTTTGTTGTGTGTTGTCCCTTACGTTTTATATGTTATGTCAAGCCATGTCTCGGCCTAACTGCCTAAACTAGTGCCATCTTTCATTACTAATAACAAAAAAATCCCATTAAATAAATTATCAATTCAAGTATATGGGTCGGGTTCGGTGAGATCAAGTAGGATTGACTCTATTTCAGATTTGAGTTATTTTAAATTATTGTACGTGTATGTACTAGTAAATCGAATTTTATTCGAATCATTCAGGTTTTGACACCACTGGATGGTAAAATATTAACATCCCTAAAGTACCCTTTCAAAACCCTAACATACAGCAACCAAAGTAACAAACCTTAAACCTTTCACTCTCTGAAAACTGAGAACTTTGTGAAGGTATTTGACAGCACAAAAATGGCTGGCGGAAAAATCAGGAAAGAGAAGCAAAAGGGGAGCAACCATTTTCAAGGAGGAATACCCTTTCACAAATCAAAGGGACAACACATTTTGAAAAATCCAATGTTGGTTGAATCAATTGTTCAGAAAGCTGGTATTAAATCTACAGATGTTATTCTGGAAATCGGTCCAGGTACTGGTAATCTTACTAAGAAGCTTCTAGAAGCTGGCAAGAAAGTTGTTGCTGTTGAATTGGATCCTCGTATGGTTCTTGAGCTTAAACGCCGTTTTCAAGGCACCCCTTTGTCAACTCGTTTAGAGGTTCTTTTTCCCACCTTTTTTTGTAATATATTTTGTTAAAAGATTTGATCTTTTCTTAATTTAATGGGATTTTGTGGAGCTTGAATTTCCTGTAAATTTAATGGTTAGAACTTAGAAATTATAAATTGTCTAAAGGGGAAAAATTGATTTTTTTTGGTTGTTTATTGTATTCATGATGGATATTGCTGAGATTTTTTTCAGTTAATTTTTTTTTGCTGTAACTGTTGCAAGAATGAAACTTGTTGAAGAAATTAGGGCAATTGGATTCCTGTGATGCTGATTTGAACTCAATGTTGGGAATTAGGGCCTGTTGGTTATAGTTTAGAGTTCACATTCTGAATTTAGAGAGCCTTATGATGTTTGATTGAAGGAAGTATTACCTAGTAGGTATAATTTTGCTACTATGATTGTAGATGCATCTAAATTGGGTGTGATATAATCATAGTTTAAACAATTGCTATTATTTTTGCTGGTTTATTCTTTAGTTTTAGGCAATATTGGGTACAAGAACTAAGGAGGAATAATTGGGCTTTCAAAAAGAGGTTTTGTAGGGTTTGTAGCTCTTGATTTCTTATAAGTTTATTTTTTATGGTGCTCCACTGTTTTTGGTTGTTACGGTTATGGAGTTGTGGTTTGAGTTGAACTTCCTTGTTAATGAATTGCTATTGGGAAAAGTAGAGATGGGTGAAATTTGAGGTGGATAGTTCATTGCTTCGAGAAGAAGGTGATAGAGGACCCTATGAAGGCTATAATTGAAGTTTCATCAAAGAAGTTGATTGTGCAAATGCAATTCATGTTCTAGAAGGTTCTAGAAGCAAAGAAATCTGGGAGCAAAGTCATGTTATCTTGTTTCATATTGTGCATATGGTAATGCAGGGCTCTCTAAAGTCCAAATAAATCATGCACTCCTTTATCTTTGAGGTATTGTGTTTGGCTGAAGGCAAACCCCCACCTAGAAGAGAGGTAGACAGCATAATTTATATAGGAGAGAGGTAGACAGCATAGTTTATATAGGAGTAGCACATTAAACTTATTCATTAGCCTCATTCACTACCTTTTCATTCTATAATGAATCTCTTTCGTGCTCACCAGCGAATTCCCATTGATGTGTATGGAGAGAGGTAGACAGCATAGTTTATATAGGAGTAGCACATTAAACTTATTCATTAGCCTCATTCACTACCTTTTCATTCTATAATGAATCTCTTTCGTGCTCACCAGCGAATTCCCATTGATGTGTATGGTAATGATCAGTGTGCTAAATCATGCACTTTTGATTCCCAAAGAGCTTGCTGCTGTGGTTTGCTCTGAGGTTTCCTTGGAACAAAACAATTGACTGGCATATCTATTGCTTTCATCTCTACTTGTACCTTAATGAATTATTTTTCTTGCGTTAATCGTTGAGTTTTGAATAAATAGATATTTACTTCCTGATGGAGATAGGATTGTTAACATTTAACTAGACAAGTTCGGATTACATATCAAACTTAAAACTCTGCTTGATTTTGTGGCTTGACAAATTAATGGAGCATTCATAAATACAGCATCTTCCTGACTACTGACATTCTTTGTCAACAGGTTATCCAAGGAGATGTTCTCAAGTGTGAACTTCCATTTTTTGATATCTGTGTTGCCAACATCCCTTACCAAATCTCTTCCCCACTTGTGTTCAAGCTGTTGGACATCAATCAAAGGCAAAACTTCAGATGTGCAATTATAATGTTCCAAAGAGAATTTGCGATGAGGCTGGTTGCTCAACCTGGTGACAAGCTCTATTGCCGTCTCTTAGTGAACACTCAGCTCCTTGCTCGGGTTTTCCATCTCCTCAAAGTTGGGAAGAATAATTTCAGACCCCCGCCTAAGGTCGACTCCTCTGTCGTTTGTATTGAACCAAGAAAGCCTCTTCCTATACCAGCTGGCAAACTTAAAGAGTGGAATGGGCTGCTCTCTTTATGTTTCAGCAGAAAGAACAAAACACTTGGATCAATATTTGGCCAGAAAAAGGTTCTTGAAATGTTAGAGAAGAACTACAGGACCTTAGAATCTTTGGGACAATTGATGAATGACTCAGAGGCAATTGATATGTCTGTCTTAGCCGATGAGAAAGACGATCAGGTGGGCGAGGATGAAACTATGGAAGTGGATAATGGAAAAGCCGATGAAGATGAAATGGAGGTTGAAGGTTCTGATGCAGACTCTGATAATGATATGCAAGTAAATGATCCTAATTTTAAAGCTAAGGTGATAGGTGTGTTAAAGCAGTATGATTACGCTGACAAAAGATCGTCCAAGCTCACACAAAATGAATTCATACACTTATTATCAGTTTTCAACCAAGCCGGTATTCATTTCACTAGTAAAAAATAGTGATTCAATATGTAATTTATTTCCTTGTGATAAATACATGCACCCAATTTTGCTCTTGCTTTCATTATCCCATACAATTTGTTATACCCTGAAACCAAAAATGTGAGTGGCAACAGTTTTGGAACTAAATAGTAGCAGAATCTGTTTCTTTGTATCTTCATTATCTTATATAACGGTTGAATGTAGTCTCCATAACAACCACCTTGGAAAAGAGTAGTCTCCATTATCTGGTTCCTCTACCTCTGCAACACCACCACCAGTCACAGAAATCACTTGGCAGCAAAGAGCCACGTGACCCTTGCGAGCATGACTTTCATAAGGAAGATTTATGAGGCGGCCAAGAGCCCCATGACCCTTCAGAGCATTATAGAACCGATTTGACTGCAAGTGCAGGTAACAAGTAAACAAATCAGTCAGACTGGATGCAAGAAAGTGAGTTAGTGTTTACGAAGTCTAATAGAAACGGTTAGTTGTACAACGAAAAACAAAACAGGTAAACATCTGAAGAAAAGCTCTAGGATGTGTTTGATATAGTTCATTGATACTTCTTTCCAGGCATATAAAAGAGAAGTAAGGAAAAATCAAATACCTGCATTGTCAATGTTCCTGAATAAGTTGTCTTGCCAGTAAAGAGTTAACAAAAACATAAATCTGACTCTAGATTCTATTGGCAGACAAATAAAGGAGCTCTTCACCGCGGAGTGGCTCTGTCAGGTGGAAATGCATTCCAGCCTCAGCAATCTTCCTGCCTTCTTCTCCATCCACCTCATGAGCCGACAGTGCAATAATCGGGATGTGTAGTCCGTACTTCTTCTCTTCTTCGCGGATTTTCAGTGTTGCTTCAAACCTATTCATCACTGGCATCTGAGATAAACACAAGACACCACAGGTTAATAGACATTATGAATTACTGTAAGTTATAAATCTTACAGAAATAAATTTGTGTAGCTTACCTGACAGTCCATGATTATAAAATCATATGGAAACTTTGAGGGTTCTCTACTTGTTTGGTTGCTCAATGCTTTGCAAACCACCTCAATAGCTTCTTTGCCATTTCCACATGCCTGAGTTTCGGCACCTAAGCGCATAACACATGTTTCAGCGAGCTTTCTTTGTAACAAATGATCTTCAACAATCAGTATTTTCTTCCTTCTAAAGGAGGTTCCTTGATATCTGCATCCCTGTTAACACAAATATATGAAATTGAAGACATTTATCTTTGAATCAAACAACTTGAAATGGGAATATACATCATTACATTACATTACCTTGGAACTTCTTGTATTTCTCCCATTTGAGTAGTTTCAGTCATCGACGTGAGCTTATCACTGCTAGAGCTCCTTAGAACCTGAGGGACTTCTGGCTCTTGAACATAGTTATCACTAAAATTAGCAAGTTTCAAGCTTCGTCTACTCCTTGCTGGCTTGATCTCCCCACCACTAGATTCACCTATATCTTCTTCAGTTTCTGATTGTGTAAATAAAACTGCAACACGAGTGTTGGATCTCTTTGATCTTCCATAAGTAGGAGATCGTACAGAATCACCCCCAAACTTAGGGAGAAGCCTTATAATCTTTGATAAGCGTGACCCATGAAGAGGTTCCGATATGATAAGATCTGTTGAAGGGAGACTCTCATCTGGTAAGCCTTGGAAATGAGCCCTACGGGTGTCAGGTCTATCGAGCCAAACTACCTTGATGCATGTCATGTATAAGTCCTTTCTAAACTCAGACACTGATCTCTGCATTTTCTGAAAATCATCCCCTGCATTGCAATCTATTACAAGTAGTATGCATTTCACTGACCTTCGAATAGTGGACCTTTTGTACACCGGAAGGACCTCATTAGTACCATCCATCATATTGAGAGGAAGCAGTTTTGACCAACCTCTACCACTGCGATCAGAGCTGCTACTCAAGTAGGTTCCACGAGGAGGGCTCGTGTCTGACCTCCCTGACGATGAGTTGTAATACTGAGGCTCAATGAGCATAGATTTGACCTTCTTAAGAGTTGGGGAGAGTTGCTTCCCTTGGCTTAGGACCTTCAAGTTTACTCCGGGGCTCTTCATGTATCTATGGATCATTCCTCTCCACGCATCATTCTTGATTAAGAGAATCACTAAAGACTTTTCACCTTTAGGACTACGAACACATGTGCTTAACCCTGAGCCCGAATTGATATCCCTATGCTCTGTCAATTCTAACCTCGGGTTATCCAAACATTCCTCTTGTACTATCAAAAAGATATTGAATTTGAAGCATGTCCCTTGCTCGCCATTGGCTTTGTCAACGATTTCTGTCATCTCCCCCCATCAATCTTACCTGCAAATAATTATCATGCACCTCAATGATGTTACATTTAACATTGAATATTCAATCATAACATAAGTAGTTTTTCAAATGGGTGCATGAACATACATACCAAAGATTGGACAATGCCTAGTCCCAAACCAGTGCCATCTTGCCCAGCAGAGTTTTCTTTGACTTAACAAAGTTCTCAAATATCAAACGACGCTTGTCCTTAGGGATCCCAGGACCTGTATCTTCCACCAAGAACTCAAACTCCATGCAGTTTGAATCTTGCTTGATTGTCTTCATGTTTTCGAGATCATTATATGCACGTTTATTCTCATGGAAAAAGCGCGACAACCTGTTTAACAAGTTGTTCCTGTTTGAAGCAATAATAGAGGTCTCATAGCTCGGCTTCTTTACTTGACATTTGATACAAATGTTCCCTTGTGAAGTGAACTTGACGGCATTATTTAGCAAGTTGCCAAGAATCTGTTTGAGCTTGCCGCGGTCACCTCTTACTTGGGAGTACTTGAAGATGGAACCATCACAAGGGTCTAGGATCACCTCTACTCCCTTTTTCATAGCAACCGGGTGGTGTAAATCAGCTACATCTTCAAGAAGTTGTGCTAAACTGAACTCATTCTCCTCCAATTTCATTTTTCCTGCTTCTATCTTGCTGAAATCTAGGATGGAATTCACTAATGCTACATATTTCAACAAGAAAAAAAGATGAATTAGTTGTTACAAACAATCTTCCTTGAATAAAACATGTATGCATACATATGTTTATACTTCGTATTACATAAAAGATCCTCAACACAAGTATCTATCTTCCTCAAGTTAGAAGCAACTTGAGAAGAGGGAGGAAGATCAGTAGCAGAGAGTTCGGTCAAGCCCTTGATGCAAGCTAAATAGCCGCGAACATCATGGTTAGCACTCGCAAAGGCCAAGCTTTGCTTAATGCTCTTTCTCTCGGCTTGTGTTGTTTTCTCCATTTTCCTCATGTATGCTACACACAATTGCACTTCCGTCCTCTCCGCTTTAACAAGCAAGGTGACAAACGCAAACATGCCAATCCACAAGATAGTTATTAGAGGTATCAGCTCAACCTTCATGTGCTCGAGGACATTGATAAGTATTCTATTGCTTGAATAAGCCAATACATATACCTACATTATAATTACATACATATGAAAAATAAAAAATTTCCAGTACTTTGTATATGTAATTTTGACAGTGTATTTTATATGGACTGTGAAACAACATGAAAACATACCATTGGCACCCTGGCAATATCAATCGACGAGCAATAGAAAATGAAATTGGCTCCTGCAATGTCTAAGGTGGTACCACCAACATTGGTAACACCATTGTTGTTAGGATTGCATGAAATTTCACCAGTGATAGATATAAGCTTGGTTGCTACCTTGCACCAAAGCTTTGCCATTCTTAAATTTTATGTCGACGTCTTTTATACCATCCATTAGTACATTGTCACCACCAAGGGTTGCCATGTACAAGCTTGCACCCAAAAGATTTGTACTAGAGAAGAACGCTGTTATTACTTCACTAGAATACCCGAGAGAGATAGCTCCGGCTCTACCTAGCCTTGCCGTGTCTAAGAATAGACTCGACGATTCTTTTCCATCGTTAGCACTCCATCGAGACCCTAATGATGCATAGCCATTTGGGCTATCCACTGCATTTTTGAACCATGTCTCATTGACTATATTGAGGGGTTTTGTGATCTTGGCTCCTCCAAGTAATTCTCCACTAGTAGAATTTACTAGTTGAGTATACCAAGTGTAATGATCAAGATTATTCGCAAAAGTCGAGTTTGAGTATAATGCAAATATTTGATCATCTTCTTTGATATATGAAAAGAAGAGGCCATCTAAACCAATGTAGGAAGCTTGGATTGTATGAGGTATGACCAATAGTGATATAAATTATGCTGGTGTAACCTGAAAAAGTTTTGAAGTTGGTTATGTGATAAACTACAAAATAAAAAATTTGAATAAGTATAAAATAATTAAAAAGTTATCTGTTCAAAATCAATTTTTTTTTTTGGTGTTCCACCCGTCCACCCTCTGGGCTAATCCGGATTCGGGGATCAGTTATGGGTGGTTAGGTTTTAATCCCCTCCCGACTGTTGTTGCGGGAGATCGAATGGGTCCTCCCTACCAAGTGTAGTCCCAATGACCACTATACCAACAACCAATTGGTGTTCTAAAACAATTGTCATGTTACCATGATTTTAGCTCCTTACATCGTTAAGTATGTTTGTTTGAAAAGATGGGCGTAAATGTTTGAATTACATTTTAACAAACATCATCATAAACATTTTCATCCACTTCTTCTACACTAATGCTCTCTTTGCTTCTGATTTGAATTTAAATCATTATCACAATTTTTAATCAACTAACATAAAATGATCTCTGCTTTTCTTTAAGGTTTCATAACTATCACCTTTTTAATTCATCATATCGACTATAATTGTTATAAATATTAATATTACTGTTAGTTGTGGCCCAAATTTCATAGCCCAAATTAATTTTGCCTAAATCATAAATGATCATGATTTATTTAGGATGTTCAAGGAAGTCAACTTAATAAATTAGATTCTTCTAGTTATGAAGTTTATAAAGGGTTTGAAGGTGCAATCCACCGCTACTAATTACTATATATGGAGAATTGTATTCATTTTATCATCCACAAAATAAGACTATAAGAGCATTCCTCCATAATACTCTCTTCCTTTTAAATATTCCACGTTTCCCTTACGCGCTCATACCCTAATAAAATAATGTCTTTTTAATTTGCTTATTTTGCATTTTATATTTATAATTTCTCGATTTATTATACGAATTCCGTTAAGCGCTCATACCCTAATAATTTCTGCGTAATAAGATGTACTTATCCAAACTTAATGTTATTTTATAAAAAAAAATAACCAAAATTTATAGAATTAAGTAAATGTAGTTTTAAATTTTCAGTACAAAATCCTCTTTTATTGAATTATTTATAAATATTGTTTACCAATTTCAATTAATATATTACTATCCAAGCAAGCACAAATAAAAAATCACATAATAATGAGATTTTTTGAAAATTATTATTGCTAAATTTGTTGCTATTTTTAAAAATTTGAGATCACTACTTAAAAGTTGGAACAAGATGGAAGATTTGCAAACATCCTAAGGAATTAGGATAATAAATTTTGAAATGTTTTCTACTCTAATACCAAACCAGGAACTGTTTAGACCATCAGTTTTCATACAATTTGCGTTTTTCTAAACAATGTATGATGGCTAAACAAACAAGACAGTCAATTCTCAATCCAGCTTCATTGAGGTCTTTGCTATTGCGAAACAGCTAAACAACTCGAAAGCTTGGATAATTCTAGTGTTGTCAATCTATGTTGATACATTAGTATTAGCAGTTGTCTTGGCATTCAGTGGGCACTGAGAAACATACGGCTTCAGCTGAAAAAAAAAATTGGTTATGAGCTCAGTCGAGAGGCTGGAAACATGAAATCTGAAAAGAAATGTTGCTGAAAACTTGTATTTTGATTCACGTGACAACACAATTATTCACAGTAGTCAAAGATTGAATAAAAAATGCAAATAACTTCCAACAACCAAATATAAGCACAAAATTCACTATCTCAGAAGAATGAGTAAAATTATGTCTGCAAAATAAAATTTTCTATACCATAGAGCCTTTTTATTTATATGAACACAGGCCAAGAACACGTGATAGAGGTCAAATAGTGCACTACAGACACTTAAGAAACATCAATGCAGAGCAAGGGCCTTAATGCAACTGTAAAGATGGTTGCTAGAAACATAGAAAGAGTAGATCATCATAACAATTGAAACTTCAGAGACTTCTGTTAGAAGTATAGGTTTGTGGGGTTGTATTTTACATAGTTTCTATTGGCACAGTACCATTATCAGATGAATCAGAGAGATACGGCACTTGACAATGTTAATAAGAAGAAATATTGCCACTCTTAAGAGAAAGGTAAAGAGATCTACAAAGGAGTTTCACATATTTCATGGCATCATCATCAATCCTACTGCATCATCAGATTAATCACCATTCAACCTATTGAATTTTTCACTTAATACCATAAGGAAGCTTGAGCTTATCTTCTAATTAGCTCCCATCTTAGCCTTCAATCTACAAACTCACCAAATTAATCTCTAACCCCTAGTCCAGAAACTATTTTGAAAATTCTTATTTTCTACATCATTTGAGTCAATTAGACACATATATCACTTAGCATCACGGTAAAGCTACTCATCATTAACATGAAAGATGGACATGAAGTCCCGTATAATCTAATACCCTTGCTGCATTCTAGAGGCGAATCCAAAAAAATTTGCTATGGGTTTGGAGTCACTAAACACATATAGGACAATCAAATAGCAAAATCCATAATACAATTACAATTAATAATACAGGTGTGCATGTTAAAAAAACTCGATGATTCTTCAATCTTTGCAAACGATCTATTACATTATCTTCCTAAACTGGGGAAAAAAAATTCTGAATAAATGTGACTAAATTTTCATGGTTTTTGAGAGATGGATTCATGGTTAGGTTTTGTTGATGTAATGGGTAACGAATTCATGGTAATGGATGTTAGATATTGAAGCATCAGGGAAGTTAAAGCCAAAAAAAAAAAGGGGGGGGGGGGGGGGACAAAGTAAATGGATGTTGGTCATACTCGAACTTGTGACCATTGGTATAAAAGTAAGACTTCCTAAGGCTAGACTGCTGAAAGAGTTGTCAAAAATGAAACACGTACTGTTTTTAACTAATTGCTGTAAAACTAAAAACTGATCAGATAAGTTCTGGATTCAGTATACTAGATCCGCCACTGCCCCATTCCCCAAAAAAAACTGGTTAGAAAATTCTTGAAAATTGCTAGTGCAGATGAGATACAAACGTACAGTACCTTGAAATCGGTAAGATCAGGTACTACGTAGTTAGGCAGCTTTTCTTGCACCACAACATAGCCACCTGCAACAAAATTCAAGTTACTACGAGAAACCAAAGGAACAATACACAGACAAATACAGGTTGCCGAATGATCCATTTGGAAGCTTAGATAAGGTAAGCCAGAATATGGTTTATGCATAGCAGAGAATAAATCAAGTTACATACAAAACATACATAAGACTAAGGAAGGATGAGACCTTTGCGGGTGTGAAATCCAGTGGGCTTGCAATTCTTTCCCTTGTAGTAATTCCTTGGCGCCCTCTTTGAAGAAAGGATATCAAGTGATGATGTCCGCTTCCTGCGCATTGACCTTGCAAGTCCGAGTATCAATCCCAGAGCCATCCTTTCGTTTCTGACAAATTTGCATCAAACCAAACCAATCAATAAATCCAGGCCCAAGAGATTTCATTTCATATTCAATTATCTCCATAAATACATAATTTTAGGGATACTTGATTCAATAATCAAATTACGCTCATAATTTTCTTTTCTTTTGGATATCATGTTTCATAATCTAAGAATTTGCGAACCCTAAACTTAAAGCACTGATAATTAAATTAGATTAGATCAAATATAAACCCTAGATTGTGAAATTGATGTGATGATGACAACAACAAACAACTTACCTTAGAAGCTGCTTCAATGGGGGATACAAGAATTAGATTCAACGGAGAACGCTTCAATGGAGAACGTTGAGTGCGCTTCAATGAAATAACTCAGAGAGGTAGGAAATAGGAATGGAGGCCTTTAAAAGACATGACCCGCCGTAGTTATAATATGGGTCAGATCCGTCTGATAAATAAATGGGGCGGGTCTTTATATGATCGTCTAATTACGAGACAGATTGGTTTTATAAAGGTTATGTAAACATGTTTTAAATATTTCCATACACCAAAGCTTGTATCAATTCTCGATACGTTTTTAAGTTTTTTTTTTAAAAAAAAAACAGCTGAAATTACGTTATTAAACTGAGTTTACAACAAACAAAAGGACAGTAAGTAACATAAGTTACTATTGGCATAAGAAGCCCTTACACAGGGTCATAAACGATATTTACCTTTTAGCTATTATAACGAGTGAGGACAACACATATAAGGCTTACAAATATACATTTAAACATGCAATGAGACTATTGATAGAACGAGGGAAGTTGGTGATGATGTTTCGTGTTGTGCAAGATTAAGAAATAAAATAAATCCAAAACTATCTATGCAAAATAGATGTAGAGTTATTATGGTAAATATATTTATTGGATGCAATCCGTGTAAAAATCTTTTTTTTTTTTTTTTTATATTACAAATAATTTTGATTCTTCTTGTTACGAATCTTCTGATAGTATATAGCCTTTTAATTTTATTTTATTTTACAAAAATTTATTAAGTTTACACGTAATATATTTAAGTGCTCAAATATACCATATCAATAATATTAGTTGCATTGTCATATGTTAATTCGGGAAAGTTATTGTATACGTACTTATATTTTATTATTTATCAAAAAAATCGTTATCTTTTACTTACAAATAATTACACAAGGTAATTGTGATTACATACCAGTACATTTAGCAAAAATTTATTACTATATTACAATATATTTTTAAAATGTGATTTTTTTTTAATACAAGTAATTTTATTTGTAATATAGATTATTATTATGACAATAAAAACAAAAAATCTACTTCTCGGCACATAGTAATATAATTATCATTCCTCAAAAAATTTAGTAAATAATTATTCGTGCAATCAATCAACCCAATTAATTATTTAATCCAAAAGTATCATCATATATATAACAAATCTCAAAAACTAAATGGGAAAGAATATGAACCTCCTTTTGAATTTCAGAAAATAAAAGTTTGACACTCGTATTATTATCCAAAACACTTGTTAGATTGATTGCTGATGAATTTATGGGAGGTATAAGTTTTGCTACTTCTTGAACAAGTTCATAACGAGCATAGCTTGTATCCATATTCACATTCTTCACGATGTTTTTCATTATTCGATACCATATTGGGTAAATGACGCTTAGTAGCAACAATGCGACAAACATCTGTACGTGATAACATGTACAAATGCACAATGAAGTTACATATCATAGCTATAAGGATTCTACCCAAATATTAAACAATCTAGTTACAAACTAGCTCAAAGGAAGGATTTTGAAAAGATACATAAACTTCGCATTTATTTATTTATTTATTAACTTTATATGCAATAATATATACAGAAAATCATACTTATAATTTAATCTTTTTGGCTAAAAAAAATATAATGATTATTACTTACCAAGATTATGAAGAAAGTAAGTAGCCTCATCGCGATTACTCTGATAACCATTGAAGCTTGCGAGTTAATGTATGAAAAAATTCAATAAGAAAGCAAACTAAAATAAGAAATGAAAGCTAATTGTGAAAAAGTTTGCTCCTAAAAAATAATTAAACTTCCTTTTATTATTCGAGAGACAATATAACCTGCCTTAGTAAATCTATTAAAATAAGAAAAGTGGGCTCTTAATTAATACAGTGACTTTGAAAATAAAACTAAAAACAGTTAAATTATATTATTATAATAATAATCTATATAAGCTTGGAACTTCAAATTCCTTGATACTTCGTATCTAAGTATTTTGTACGTATTCTATTTAACAAATTTGAAGAACCCTTATGTAATTAATCTTAGAGTAATTGGAATAAAGATAGTAATTTTTTAATGAATTAAAATTTAGAAAAAGACACTCGAGAGAGTCAAGACTTGAAATCGTATCTCATCAATATCACGATGAATTGTAACTTTTTATAAACTTTATAAAAAAGATGAAAACTTTAATTTGGTGCTCTAGAATTTCGTTTGGAAATAACATTTGCAAAAATATTTCTTCCATCCCCATGAATGAAGAAAATAACTATGGCATTTTAATAGGATAACCCAACTTCTAATCAAGCTTCACAGAGTAAAGGCGCATCATACTGTTCACTCCAAAACTGTAGAGATTTATAAGAATTACTGGTCCTTTTTGTAAAGGTTTCCTAAATACAAGGAATCACAATCACCTGCCAACATCTTAAATGGTGTTCAAACTGCAATACTATCTCCAACCAGAACAAAGGTTTCAAGCTTTTGATAAAATTCACTCATAAATAACCACTATTTTTAAGATCACGAGAAATTGTTGCTGTAAAGAGGGAGAGATGGGGATTGGGGAGAGAACAAAGAGAGAAGGAAAATTGAATATTTGTAAAGATTGGGTGTAAAAATATCTGTTCTTTTGGTATTGATCCTGTCAGCATTACAAATTTGATCCTTGATAATGCACTGTTCTAATTAACATTGCAACGACAGTAACAATGCGCAGAACAACTGCACAACTCAATTCTCTACGTGATACGTGCTCCACTTGTCCAGAATATCATAGAGCGCACTCCTTACTTGGACTTCGCACAAGGCATGTACGGGAGATTAGCAAAGGAGTAGTTACATGTATCAATGCTACAAAGAGATTGTTCACAACTATGGAGTGGCAGTTGTTTGTTCCCTGGGTTTTTCCAACTTTACTTGTATCAGTCTGTCTAAAACTGGGGGCTCTAATGGGATTGGATCCAGACAACGCTCTACAGCAGCATTAATAACCTGACAATTTAAACAAATAGCCATTTCAGTTTTGTACTTCCACCGTTATAACATGAACACAAGCAAGCCAATAAAATTGAGCTTGTGAATGGGTATTAGATGAGACAGTGATCAAAAGTTAAGAACAGCATACAACACTATAAGTCACATTACCTCATCAAGTAAAAAATCAACAGCGGCTTCATCCTCCACATTATCCTTAATAGAATCCCTCAAGAACTGTGTGTCCAACTGGATTTGCTGAAATCCACTCCGGTTGAAGGTCTGTAATCGAACAAATTCTTGCAGACTTTTCAGGCAAAGCTTCACTGTTGTAGTTAGGACAGAATCCTGAATCATACCATGCCCACAAATTAGCTGCAAATTAGCAACAGCTGCAGTGTCATCAGTCGTACAATTATCAAGGGTTTACCTGTGTGGCATCAACTTTGGTAAAAATTTCCATTTTCTGCTTAAATAATTTAGCTAGATGGGTCTCAAGCAGCTGACTCCTGGCCTTTTGAGGGTTAGATCTGGTTAGCAGCCTTTCATCACGCAATGGATTACTACGTGTAGATGTACTGCTGGCGTTGCTCATACTATCAGCACGACGATGTTTACGGGTGGGTCCCTCAGGTAAAATTTGTTTCACTTCAGACAGTACTCCCCCCAACTGCAACCAAAAAAAAATCAACATGAAATGAATGCGTACCTAGGGATTTGTTTTCAAACAATACTTGTACTCTAATAGCCTGATTGGCATCCAGATAAACGTTAGAACAATAAACACACTGACATTGGAAGCACCTAAACCGAGCACTCAGCAGGTCTGGAATTCAACTTGCAAAGGAAGCACCATGTATTGAGAATATGTTGGGGTGCCACTGTGACAAGAAGACAAGAAGACTCGGGATTATTCTAGCTTTGGGCCCAGCTACATTATGAGGTAGTTTGTGGAAATCTGAGTGCTATCTATACAATCCAAGCCTGAGATATGCTGGGACGAGAACACCCCGGCTTTTATGAAATTATTTAACCCAATGTGATTCCCACCAATAGGCAGCTTTAGTAATCTGAAGGTGTATAGCCTTATAACTAACAAGCAAAGACCCTCATCCTCACTAAAATCCAAGAGTAACCTTTTCTTGTAGGCCACTGAGAATTGCACTAAGTCGCAAGTAATTAGCCTCTGCTTTGGTTTGAAATATGTAATAATAATTGAAAATAATAAACAAGAAAACAAACCTCTTGAAGAAATAAGTCAACAAACATGTGAACTTCTCTAGGCTCCTTGTGCTGCAAGAACCACCAAAAGCTGATTATCAGATATAATAAACAAACTAAAACAATCATACTTCCTCAGTTTCGTTTTACATGCATCACTTCACAAAACACGAACTTCTAGGCAATTTTTGAAATGAGAGATAGAGAGAGAAAAAAAAGGGGATCCATGTGATGTGAGAGAGAAAATTTATTAACTAAAAAGGAAATTGATGCATCTAATTTGAAACTTCCACATTTAGAAAGAGATGCATCTAAAACGAAATGGAGGAAGTGCATTTAAAATTTAAGATAACTGTGAATTTGTACTTACCTTGATCCAATTGGGTGTTGTAAACCGCTTTTTCAGGAGAACTGAAACTCTCTGAGTTTTCATTTTTATGTACTGAAGGATTGAGAAAAAATATTTGCAAAATGAGTAGTTACACAATATTTCAGTAAAAAGAGGGACAACCAGACAAGACAGACCATAATAATAGAGCATGGGAAGAATTGTGAATTTTGTGACAGAATAAAACCTACTAATTTAAGTAGATTAGTTTTCAATATATTAGATTCTTCAAATGGAGGCATACTCCATACATGTTAAAGAGATTTATATAAAACATAACAAGAGTGAAACACTATGCACACTTTGATCGATAAAATTAAAAAAGGAAACACCATGCACTGATGTGCTCATCACAGACATGTAACCCCAATTCTCCGAACCCAAAATATAAAAGAAAGCAAAAATGCTGACGAGATCCGCTGTGAGCTATACAGCTAAGATTTTAAACCAGAAAAGAAACGGGAAACCACCAGCCTGAAAACCAT